CAGTGCGCGCTTACTGCGTTCTAAAGCGCGCGTCGCAAATACTTCCCCTCATCGCCGTGGTTGGCGGGTGCGCGGCGCTCGCTCAGGGCGCCGTGCTGCGCTCAATCATCCAGACTCCCCTCCTCATCCTCCCCCCCCTCCCTCTCCCCTCTCTCCTCCCGCCCCCCACCATGCCCCCCCCTCTCCCTGTAGGCATTGAAGGCGGCGGGTGGAGTGGTGAACGCGAGACGGAGGAGAGGGGTGATGGCGAGGGGCGGTGGCGGGGGGGTGGTTGGGCGACTGGCTGTGATGGGCGTGGTGGCGGTGATGGCGATGGTGGGGAGCGACGAGGGCCTCACGAAGGGCGGTTGGGCGCAGCGCTGCTTCTGGCGCAGCAGCGTCTGCAGCCGTGGCTTCCTCCCCATCATGATGGCGCACGCTGCTCCCCTTGACCCCACCCAGTGTGAGCGTGTGATTGCGGGAGTGTGGGAGGGTGCGCGTGCGCGCGCGCGCGCGCGCGCGCGTGTGTGTGTGTGTGTGTGTGTGTGTGTGTGTGTGTGTGTGTGTGTGTGTGTGTGTGTGAGTGTGTGCGCTGCAGTGCACCCAAGGCAGCATGACGCCTTGCCGTCCCATGCACGTGCCGTTCACATCACATAATCGTCACCTCATGGCGCAACCTCTTTCCGTCCCATCATGTGATGGAATTGCAGCACAAGCCTCCCTCGTTTCTCGCATCTCACTGCCCTTCCTCTGCCCGCCCCCGTTGCTGCGCTGAACCCCGTTGCTGCCCCTCACCTGGTGATGCTTCTCCCTGTGCACCCCATTGCACCCATTGCTGCGCCCAGGGCGGGTGCGAGTGTGTGTGGGCGCATGTGGGTGTATGTGGGGTGTGGGTGTGTGTGTGTGTGGTGGTGTGGGCGCGGGGTGGGTGTGAGTGTGTTTGGGTGTATATTGGTGTATGTGTATGTTGGTGTATGTGTATGTGGGTGTGTCAGTGTGTGTGTGGGTGTGAGTGTGTGTGTGTGTGTGTGTGTGTGTGTGTGTGGTGTGTCAGTGTGTCTGTGTGTAAGTTTGTGTGTGAGCGTGAGTGTGTTTGTATGGTGTGGGTGTGGGTGTGAGTGTGTGGATGTGAATGCGAGTGTGTGTGCGTGTGTGTGTGTGAGTGTGTTTGGGTGTGAGTCTGTGTGTATGGGTTTGAATGTGTGTGTGTGAGTGTGGGTGTGTGTGCGTGTGGGCGTGAGTGTATGGGCTTGTGTGTGCGTGTGTGTGACTGTGTGACTCTGTGTGTGTGTGTGTGTGTGTCATGTGTCGTGCAGTGCACCCAATGCATCACACGCAGACGCCGCTCACATAATCATTGTCATCGCATGGCTTGGCTTTACAGTGACCCTTTCCTCAGGAATCGCAGCACAAGCGTCCCTCATCCCTCGCATCTCACTGCCCTTTCCTCTTCCGCACCCCCATTGCTGCGCTGCACCCATTGCTGCGCTGCACCCATTGCTGCGCTGCACCCATTGGTGCACGGCACAGGGCCAGCACTGCAGAACATGAAGACGCAGTGGAGCAGTGCGATTCCCGAGTACACCAACAGTTGGGTTGAGGGCGCAGAGTGCAGGACCATGCGCGGCATCGCTTGCGACACAGATGGCTATGTGACGAGATTGTGAGTGTGAGACACTCACCTGCAGTGCCTTTGTCTGTTATGTTACTTGATAGGTCCTGCGTGATGTTTCCTTGGCAATTTCAGATTGTTGCGCTTCTGACCGTTTTTCTTACCCGTTTTCGAGTACTTTCGGCGACCATTCGTGGGTTTCCCCAGCAAGTTGGGCATGCACATGGTCAGATGCGCCTCACTGCTTTTAAGTAGGCATTTAATGTCCGGAGCAGGGTGAGTGCTGTAGCGAAGACTTGTATTCTGCAGTGTTGCATGCAAGTATGACGATAAGCTAAGTGACCGCGAACTAACGTGCTCGGAATTTCAAACGCTGATTTAGGAACGTTGGCAATGGACCGTAAACCGCGCACACCTGCCTGGGTCAAACTCTGGAAAAACATTTTCCCAGGCAGTCGAGGTTTTCCTAGGCAGGGGAAACTAGCTATACTTTGGGGTAGGCTTTGGCCAGGGTCGACCCTGACCTTATTTCCGGGTTAAACCTGGTTCGGACGAGGTTTGTTTCGAACCTCTGCAGGCCCGGGTTCAGCTCGTTCGAATGCATTTGTTAGTGACAAACATGTAGGTGGAGCTCGGAAATGAACTTCAGCGATTTATCAATGGTGGTTGAAATGAAACCTATAGAGTCCCTCCTGAAATCGGGAACAAGGATCCTGGGCGGCCATACGGATCTTGGGCGGCCACAAGGATCCTGGGCGGCCACAAGGATCCTGGGCGGCCACAAGGATCCTGGGCGGCCACAAGGATCCTGGGCGGCCACAAGGATCCTGGGCGGCCACAAGGATCCTGGGCGGCCACAAGGCTCCTGGGCGGCCACAAGGCTCCTGGGCGGCCACAAGGATCCTGGGCGGCCATAAGGATCCTGGGCGGCCATAATGATCCTGGGCGGCCATAAGGATCCTGGGCGGCCACAAGGATCCTGGGCGGCCACAAGGCTCCTGGGCGGCCACAAGGCTCCTGGGCGGCCACAAGGATCCTGGGCGGCCATAAGGATCCTGGGCGGCCATAAGGATCCTGGGCGGCCATAAGGATCCTGGGCGGCCACAAGGATCCTGGGCGGCCACAAGGATCCTGGGCGGCCACAAGTATCCTGGGCGGCCACAAGGATCCTGGGCGGCCACAAGGATCCTGGGCGGCCACAAGGCTCCTGGGCGGCCACAAGGCTCCTGGGCGGCCACAAGGATCCTGGGCGGCCATAAGGATCCTGGGCGGCCATAAGGATCCTGGGCGGCCATAACCATAAGGATCCTGGGCGGCCATAAGGATCCTGGGCGTAGGGATGAGCAAAAAAACGAACACCGAACAGGCTTGTTTTTTTTGCTTAAAGCGTTCGCCAAACAGTATTCGAGGTTCGCCCGAACACGTTCGTGTTCGGGCCGCTGCTGCAATTTGCCCCGCGACGAACATGAACGTGTTCGAGTTTCGCCCGAACACGCCTTCACAGGCGAACGGCGAACACCTGTTTCTGCTTAAAGTGTTTGCCGAATTGAACAGTGTTCGGTTCGGCAAACGGATGTGTTCGTGTAGGGGCGAACACGAACTCGTGTTCGCCCCTTGCTCATCCCTACCTGGGCGGCCACGGGATTTTGCGCCAGGCCGCGACTTGGGGTGAACTGCTTTTGAGTCGACTCAAACGCGACTTGGGGTGAACTGGCCTGGTTCATTCAACCCAGCAGCAGCATGTGAACCACGCTGGCTAGTTTGCCGAGCCGAACCTGATTCAGCCTGGTCCAGGCCGCCAACGGGAAAGGCCAGAATTGAACCGGTTCGACCCGGGCTGAATGAGTTTCGTCAGTGCGCTCATGCCTACGCTTGCTCAGGGGTGCAGTGTGGTGGGTTGGTGTGCTTGGTCAGTGGTTGAGTTTAATCAACACGGGAGGGGTGAAGTTGGATGAGCTGCTTTCGGGGTTCAATGTGCTGTGATGGTGAATCCCAGAATCGGGTGATGATCAATGGTCAATCTGCTCGTCGAGATCAATGGTCAATCTGCTCGTCGAGATCAATGGTCAATCTGCTCGTCGAGATCAATGGTCAATCTGCTCGTCGAGATCAATGGTCAATCTGCTCGTCGAGATCAATGGTCAATCTGCTCGTCGAGATCAATGGTCAATCTGCTCGTCGAGATCAATGGTCAATCTGCTCGTCGAGATCAATGGTCAATCTGCTCGTCGAGATCAATGGTCAATGAGCAGACAGTTACGCAGCAGTTATCTGGAGGGCACTTTTCCTCAACGGATCACCGACTTAACCAGACTAGTCTACCTGTACGTACTCCCTCTGCACCTTTAGCTATCCTTCTGCCCCCATTCCCTCTCCCCCTCCTCCTCACCCCCTCTCTCCCCCCCGTCTCCCACTCCAACTTCACGTTCTCCTACCCTCCCTCCCCATCTCTGTATCCTCCCTCTCCCAGTCCCCATGGCCCCTTTCCTCCTTATCTCCCTTCCATACATTTCCTGACTTCTGTCACTTGAAGCAGCTCCTCAATTCCGCTCATTCTTCAGCTCCTCTCACATTCTTCGTTCTCACTCTCTCCCTCCTCGCCCCTGCGCTCCCCTCCCTCCCTCTCCCCCCCCCCCCTCCCCCCCCCCCCTCTCACCCCCTCTTCTACCCACACAGCTATTTAGACACGAACTTGCTCACGGGCTCTCTCCCAGACAGTATCTCCAAACTCGTTTCTTTAATGGAATTGTGAGTGAGATGCCTCCTCAAAATGGAGTCTCTTCAAGCGAGGTAACAGGTTTACAGCTCCATATTGCGTCACAATAGGTGTTGACGATCGGACTGTGATGTGAACCAACATGAAAATAAGTTTGACTCGAACTGAACCTGACGAGGCAATTTGACAAGGTTCCAAGCGAACCAGTTTGTTTCTAGATTTGCTTATTGGGAATCAGAAGGACGAAACCAAAGACGATACAGAGAGTAACAAAATGAATTCGTGGAGGTGAGACCTGGAGTTGAATGAGAAAATGGTCTGTGTCCCTAATATGGAATGGGGATGATGTCTATTCATGACGCATTTCTATCTAGTTTGTGATTGCCAGTATTTTTGAATTGGAATCGCATTCAATGCAGCACACCTATTCGGCCAAATTCGTATTTAGGCGTGACTCTCGAACACCTAAACAAAGCTGAACGTAGGTGACTTATATTCAACTGCACTGCACAGGCTTACCTTGGCTGCTCTTGCATACCTTGCACCCCCCTTGCGTGCATTGCCCCACCGTACAGCGCAGTGACGCCCGTTACAACTAGATCAGTGGGCCCCTGCCTGAGGGCATCGGCGCTCTCAAGCAGACAGGCTTACCTTCCATCCGCATGCATGCGTTGCCTTGCCCCCACCACACAGAGGCGCCTATTCCAACCAGCTCAGTGGGCCCCTGCCTGAGGGCATCGGCGCTCTCACTGCCCTGGAGAAATTGTAATGCCCTCCCCTCCTCGCACGCCTTTCGACTCCTCCCACCCTTTCTCTTTTCCCTTCCAGTAACAAGTTTCTCGCGCACTTCTTCGTCCGTCCTTGATCGATTCTGCCACTGCACGTTGTGCTATTTGAATTCAGTTAGTTGTATCTCAACCGATTGGAAGGACCCCTGCCCACATCTTTCACCCAGCTGACTTTTGAGTCGACTCAAAAGTCAACTCTGCATGCTGTCCTCTTTGAATTCAGATATTTGTATTCTAACCAGTTGGAAGGGCCCCTCCCCACATCCTTCACCCAGCTGACCGCTCTAACCGCTTGGTAAGACCAGCGCTGTCATCCACGGCACGGCACATATGCCTGTGCCAGCCAGAAGCATACGTCACACGTTCTTAAAGTGTCTGATACCAACGATTTTAAAGGGTTGCTGTTTGTGTGTGTGTGTGTGTGCGCGCGCGTGCGCGTGTGTGTGTTAGTTTGTGTGTGTGCGCACATATTTTTGTGTGAGAAAAAAAGTTTGTGCGTACCTGTGATCTAAGCACGCCCTCTATTGTCCTTCCTCAGTCTTTATCCTTCTTCCCCACCATCCTCCAACTCTTGAACGGTCCTTAGTATTGACGCTCAATACTTACATACAGGTTAAGCAGATAGAACAGTATTACCACTGTTAGTCGTACAAGGGCCCTCCCACAGTGAACTGAGCAACAACCGTCTCACGGGATCTCTACCAGAAGAGATTGGAAGCATCTCCAATCTGGTAAACCTGTACGTTCTCCTCATCTCCCCGCTCAACACAACCTCCTCATTCCTTGTGCCCCCCCTTTCCCTTACACTCTATAGCCGCTCTTATCTGCCCGCAGCCCGCCTAGTGTGTTAGATCACCAGCCAACCCACGCACTCCCTTCTCCCCCCTCATCTCTTGCTCCTCTCTAAACCCACAAGAACGTACCTCTATATCTACGTCTGTTCCTGCTGTCCCGTCCCTGTTGGTAACCTGGAAATCCATTTCTGCCATTCCTCTTGCGCCTACTATCGCACGAGTTTTTTGTCTTTTAAATCAACCCTTGGCCATCTTTGCTCCGTGCATTGTTGCTGTCCTCGCATCACATCACATCACATTTCATCACATCACATCACATCACATCACGTCACATCACGTCACGTCACGTCACGTCACGTCACGTCACGTCACGTCACATCACATCACATCCCATCCCATCCCATCCCATCCCATCCCATCCCATCCCATCCCATCCCATCCCATCCCATCCCATCCCATCCCATCCCATCCCATCCCATCCCATCCCATCCCATCCCATCCCATCTCATCCCATCCCATTCCATCGCATCACATCCCATCACCCCAGGCGTGCCAACGATAACCTCATATCAGGCCCCCTGCCCACCTCTCTAAGAGCCATGACTTCTCTCGCCAACCTGTGAGGCTTTCATTTCTACATTTGCTTGTATCATCCATGCACGCACAAGTACTCCACTACCAAGCTGGGTGTACACTTTGTAGATAGAGTTTAGTTTAATACTCGAACCTAAGTTCAGTTCCATTGATTCGGTAAGAACCCAACCAAACCAAACTTATTATTCTGTCCATAGTTTCTACTCTAACGAACTGCAGTTCTAGTCCGTTCGGGTCTGCAGGAGGAGGCGGTGCTTCATTCATAGGTTGGCTTTGGTGCTCGGGTGACCATAGACTCGGGTGACCATAGACTCGGGTGACCATAGACTCGGGTGACCATAGACTCGGGTGACCATAGACTCGGGTGACCATAGACTCGGGTGACCATAGACTCGGGTGACCATAGACTCGGGTGACCATAGACTCGGGTGACCATAGACTCGGGTGACCATAGACTCGGGTGACCATAGACTCGGGTGACCCTAGACTCGGGTGACCCTAGACTCGCGTGACCATAGACTTTATCATTCTTCTGTGTGTGATTAATTCCACATTACATTGTGTGGCTTTCATGTGTATGCTTGTTCAAATCTTCATATCTGCTTGTTTATATGATTGACATGTTAGCTTTTGCTTTTCTCGTTCCACCACATCCTCTATTCCAGGTTTCTGGAAACAAAACCCTAGAAATGACCTCGAAATGTATGCCTCGATAATGGAATTAGCAATCAAACGGAACCAAACCAGTTCGAGTCGAATACCCCCATGTTTTGGAACCAATACTTCAAAAGTCTGACAATGCAGGTCACACTACTAACTCCACAGTCACCAGTCTCGGTTCACATCAAACCAAGCCGTTCAGTCTGATAAAAACCGGTTTGACACGGTTCAAACTTTGGTACTCGCACGGCCATGTCCACTTGTATTGGGCTGGGCCTGCATACTTTTCTTTGCAGAGAGTACATCGGCGAGATTTACACCAGGGTGCCAGTCCAGTCCGACTGTGCTTGAGCAAGTACCGAACCCAAACCCGTTTGAACCGGGCCAAAAGGAATTTGGTAGGAAAGCGGATCCAGTTGCGTTCATTGAACCCAGATTTAGTTCGTTTCGAGTCAATCCTTAACAGGTTCGGCTCGACCCTCAAGTTCGCCTCGATCAGGCAGTTCGTTATGGTCACATCTATAATCTATTCTATTTCTATTCCCCTGCTTTGCCGTGCCCCCGCCGACGCCCTTAGACACCTCTCGGTTGGCGTTAGGAAAAGGTTCCAGGCTTACAATTGGGGTATAGGGAGGATACACCCAGTTTAAACTCAATATCTCATGGTTCAACACAACGCATACTCCCTTGCTGCTGTGTACCATCCATGCCCCTCCTCCCCCGCTCCTCTCTCCCCCCCACCTCCCCCCCCAGTGCCACTGGCACTGCCTATCGTGCCTTGCCAAGCCATCCTGCGAGCGGGTCCATCTGTCCTCCCTCCAACCCAACTGCACCACTGGCATGCGCCTGCCCTTCCTCCTCATCCGCCTTGTTTGTTTCCTGCCTTTTACCACTCCACTTCTCCCCAACCCTCTGCTGCCCCCCCCCCCCCTCTCCTTGCTGCACTTTCCCTTGCCGTGCATGGCAGGGAGATGCAGAACAACAACCTGAGTGGGCCCTTTCCTTCCCAACTGGCAACTGTTAGATCACTTATCAATCTGTGAGCCCCCTGGGGCAGGATGGATGGAGGGAGCTTTGGCATGTGCTGTCGGGTGTGGTGTGGCCTATAGGGTCCGGGGTGTGGATTATTGAGTATCAGTGCTGTTATCAACACGGATCATGGTGCATGAGGGCATTAGGGCATGTCAGAGTAGCTTTAAGACCGAGCCCAAAGCTCTCAGTATGGATGGACCATCAAACTGCATACTGTAGGCACTGGCATACTGGCACTGGCATACTGGCACTGGCATACTGGCACTAGCATACTATGTGGTTGACCTGTGTGTTACCAAAACGGTCAAGGCGCGTGAAACCTGATGAGAGCGCTTCGATGTTCTCGCCTCCCCTCCCACATCCTGCATAAATGCGTACTCACATCTCCTTTCCCCTGTAACCCACATGTCAGCCAGCTGTCTCCTCCCTTCTTTCGCCCAACAACACCCTCTCCCCCCTCCCTCCTCCCCTCCCCCCCCCCCCCCTCCCCCCCCCCCCCCGCCCCCAGTCGGTTGCAGAACAACGCATTCAGTGGCCCCCTTCCGGACCAGTGGGCAACTACCAAGATTATGGAGCTGTTCGTGATTGATTCTCTTCCTCTTCTTCTTCTTCTTGTTCTTCCTTTCTAGGCAGCGTGGCTTGAGCTCAGAAAAATACTGCTGCTTGGGATGGTCACTGGAGCATCCATCCAGCGTATGAACGCCAGTGTTTATACTCTGCAGTACAATGCGCTAAGCGTGTATATATGTTTACTTGGCATACCGGCTCAGCTTGTTATGGCTCGGCTTGGCTCGGTATGGTGGCTCAGGAGAGGAGTGGCCTCATCTCTTTCCCGAGAGGAGTGGTCCGGACTGGACCCGAACTGAACCACCTCGCCTTTGTGCTGATGCCTCCGCCACACTCTAGCTCCACACCTCTTGGCACAGGCAGCCCCTGCTCAATTAGCTTGTCAACTCGATGAACTTGCCCAGCCGTATAGAACTTTTGCAGGCTCCTTTTCTTTTTCTTTGGCTTTATGAACTTGCTGGCTCTTTGTACACTTTAGAATGTTGCCAGCTCCTAAGAAAGCCATGCTAAAGTAACCTCACAGATCTCTTGACGACCCTTTGTAGCCAGCGCACTTCCGCACAAACATCTGAGCAGCGAAATTGTGACCCTGATACCTTGTGGCCAATTTTTGCAAGTTGGTAAGCACCTCAAACCCCGTGCCTCTATCCCCGTGCCTCTATCCCCTTCCCCATGTTGCTGTGCTGTGCCATCCCTCCCGCAGTGATATCAGTCAGAATCAGCTGTCTGGCACGATCCCCTTGGCGATTGGAGGCCTCTTCCAGCTGCGCACATTGTGAGTCAGCTCACCCAAGTACTGCCTCCCCTGTGCAATTCCATGCCATGCCATGCCATCCCATGCCATCCCATGCCATCCCATGCCATGCCATGCCATGCCATGCCATGCCATGCCATGCCATGCCATGCCATGGATCTCTGCCGTGCCATGCCTCTCTGGAATGCCCGTACATGCCTGCCTGCACCATCCCGGCTGTGCTGCGCTCCTCACACACCCACACCACTGCTGCATCCTGCGCTCAAACCAAACCAAACCATGTGTTCCATATGCATCCATGTCTGCATGCTGTCTCCGAATCCATGTCTGCATGCTGTCTCCGAATCCATGTCTGCATGCTGTCTCCGAATCCATGTCTGCATGCTGTCTCCGAATCTCTCTCGCCCTCCTCTTCCCCCCCCCCCCCCCCCCCCCCACAAAAAAAAACGAGTCATTTTTAGCGCATTCAATCAAACCAGAACTGGCTAAACCAGAACCAACCTGCTTAGTTGAACCCGTTTGTGAGCATGCCAGTTGTTGCTCTTGAATCAACCTCTATGGAACGAGTTGGTGCTGGTTCGGTTACATGGGCTTGGGCATTTTCCTAGTCCATAATGGTGAAACTCGACTTGTGGCTCACTGCCTTCCCCTAACAACCGCCGCCGGCTTCACTTGAGAGTTGAGAATCATGCTGGTGCCAGATCCAAGTGAGGGAGTGAGGGATCCCGAACGAACGGCACCCGCGTTGAGACAGTTGAACCGGTTCGAGTCGATCCCAAACCTCTTTGACTCCAACCAGCGAGGCAAAAAAGGAAAAGTACGGTTCTTGGCAAACCGGTTTGGTTAAAACCAGATCGCGGTATTCGTTTTTGCTCATGCCTAATTCCGTTTGATCAGCTGTTCAGTTACCACCTACTGCAAGCAAACAACAAGCCATCGTCCCTGCATTCCCTATCTGCATCCCCCTCTGCATCTCACTTGTTCCTTCGCTTCCACCTCTAATAATCTCCCACTCATTCCATCTCTAATAATCAGCTGACTGCTCAATCTTCTTGGTCTCCCCGTGGCACTCGTCTCTTCCCCCAGTGACCTCAATCACAACCAGCTGTCTGGCACGATACCTGACGATATCACAGGCTTGGTCTACCTCACACTGCTGTAAGGAATACAATACTGGGAAGGCTCACCCGCAATGCTGTAAGGCTCACCCACAATGTTGTAACTTGTGAGGCCCACTCTGGTAGCCCCTTTACCTCTACTGTATACCTGCACCCAACAACGCTGTTGCACATGTGCATGCTGCTCTGTTGCCTTGAGTTGATGCGTGTGATGAATCGTGCAGCAGCCTGCTCGCTTGCCTGCCCAGTACACTGTTGCTCGTTTCCGATTGTGTTTCATGCAAACCCTGTCACAACCTTAGGATCAGACTTTTCTTGTGTGCAAACCTCCTTTTCAACTCATCTTCTTGCCCAGGCCTGCTCCTTCGCCACGTCGCATCCCCTTCGTTTCCCTGTGAACCACTCTTGATCTCGTTGCATGATTTTGGTCTCTGCATTTCCACCTTCCTTTCTTCTGCAACGTGTAGGGACCTGAGCTCAAACCGTCTCAGTGGCACAATACCCCAAGGACTTGCGACTCGTAACAGTCTGGAAGTTCTGTAAGCCTCCCCATACACCCCTAACTCAGCTGTCCCATCATCCCTCCAACACTCTAATATGTTTCTTCACTCTTTGTACTCCCAAGCTCAAGCCACACAGATAAGAGTGTCTGCTCTTCTTTCTGTACTCTCCCCCATCGGGTACCATTCTCCATCCTCTCACCTCTATCCCCAGCAACCTGAGGGACAATCAGCTCACAGGGAAGGTCCTCGAGCCCGTGCCACCTAACGTGTGGATCTACAAGCTGGACAACAACTACTTGAGTGAGGGGTTTTCCTCCCCCCCTCCATGCGAGCAAGGCTACATCACATACCACAGCAACTGTGCAGACGTGCCAGCAGAGGGCCTTGCGTGTGCCACGGACGAGACTCAGCGGGCTGAGGATGTGTGCGCTGCCTTCTGCAGTGTCTCTTCCACTTCACCCGCCTGCAACGGCCATGGCGTGTGCTTCTTGGACGGCCCCAGCAACACGCCCACATGCCTCTGTGACGACAACTTCGTGATTGGGGAGTTTCCTGGCAGCTGCGTGCCCGTGGCAGGTGAGCCACTCACAGTCACCTCTGCACCTCTGCAGGGGAGTTTCCAATGCCACGGTTTGTGCTGTTCTGCACTTGCTCTGATACTCCTAGCAAGCATTCGACTTTTTTGTGATTGCCTTTCCCGACTGCCTTTTGGGTTACGGCTCAGTGCCCCCTGTGTGATTACGTGTTCTGCACTCGATCTGCAACCGTCTCTGATTCTGTGTGCCCCACATTCAGGTGGTAAGACGGAGCAGCAGCAGACTCCCACAGCAGCCACGCTCACAGCCACTGGAGACGCCTCAGTGGATGCTGCAACAGCCACGCTCACTCTCACGCCCGCCCAGCCGTCCAAGGCTGGCAGTGTGTTCCTGGCAGCGCGCGTGCCGCTCTTCTCCTACCAGGTCATCGGGGACTCCTGCGGCCGCCAGCTCGCCTTCTCCTCCTCCTTCTCCTTCACTCTCACCCGCCCTGCTGCCTCCGGCTCCGAAGGCTTTGCCTTTGTGGTGGCCTTTGATGCCACCCTGCCCACAACACCAGTGGCGGGCGGCATGGGGTATGCGGGGATGGGAGCGCGCAGCGTGGCAGTGGAGTTTGACACGTCGATGGATGCGGGCAACAGCGACCCTGACAGCAACCACGTGGGCATCAACACCGGCGGCAATGTCACGTCCGTGGTCACAGCCAAGCCTAGCACCCCTCTCAATGACGGCACGCCCAAGCACGTGTGGATCGACTACGATCCTTCCTCCGGTGGCTCTCTGCGCGTCTTCCTCTCCTCCCAGGCGTCCCCTCGCCCCACCACCCCCCTCCTGTCGGCACGCATCTCCCTGTGTGAGGAGCTGGCCCCCTCCCCATCGGAGTACACCTTTGCCATCGGCTTCACTGCTGCCTCTGCCACCCAGCCTCAAACCCATGTCGTCTCCGCCTGGACCCTCTCTACAAGTGAGTGCACGTCTGCGTCCTTTGTCGTTTTCGGTTAAATAAGAAATGTTATGACCAATGGCATTGACTACAACCCTAACTTGCGCACTGTTTGACATTTTTTTCTGTAATACCCTTTTACCTTCTTCTTGTGTGTGCAGATTTTCCCATACAGCCAACTCCAGGTATGACATAGTGCCACAATGCCATTCTTGCTTTGTTCCTTTGACACAAGCAAAATGGAGTTGCGTTCTTGAGCCCATTTCAGGTGCGCAGTATATGTTTCCTAAAAAATCCTTGTCGTATCTTAGCTTTACCCTATCCTGGATCGCAGTTGCAGCGCGGGGCTTTACCTTCAGCGAGGCGGCGCTCTCTCTGTCGGGGATGAATCTCTTCTTCCGCTATGCCAGCTCGGGCAGCGTTGCTGCTGAGGGTGGCAATGACGTGTATGGCGTGCGCCCTGCCACTTCATGGGTCGGTCCAAACTTCAAATGGCCTGTCAGGACACAGAGCGCTTGCGGTGAGTATCCTAGAGCCCGGCTATAGTACCACCATCACACCACACGTGTAGTTGGACCTTGTTTTGTAGGTGTAACTGGTTTTCTCCACGTGAGCCAAGACAGCTCAGCATGAGCTGGGCCCAAGGTTCAAAAATACAGTTTTCGTATTTTACGGTCAGTTTTTTATGGTCCGTTTTTTAAAGTAATTTAAAAAAAAAACGGCGTTTTTCTGTTAGAGAACTGTTGTCACCAAGAAAAAAAAGGGGAAAACAAGGCCGGATACATGTTCAATCTTGCCCACAAGTGCACGCATGCAACGAGAGGTTCGTCCTCTTCATCCTGGTACCTTTCGCCATCAGTTTGGTCCTGCACATCGGCCGGTTTTTTTTCAAACCAATAACACCTTTTGGAACCGTTTTACGGTACAGTCTCAATAATACGGTCTTATTTTGTAACCCTGGCAGGGCCGTCGAAGATATAACGAAACACTAGAGCGTTAATATATTCATAGAGGATGCAAATGTGTACCGAGCTTGTGAAAGGCATAAGGAGGTTAATTATCAACCAGGAAGAATGAGGGTGTGTAGCATTTGTCACCTTCACCCCTCCGGACAGGTTACCACGATTTAATGGTTTCTAGTATTGCCATTTCTCGGATGATGTTTCGTTGAAACATATGCGACATCGTTTAAACTCGGACCGTCGATAGAACGTTTTTTTCAGATATTTGCTCTCCCAAATCTTCCAGACAAGTGCCATTCGAGAAATGGACGGTGTAACAGTTATGTGGCCTATTGGCGCATGAATACTCGTTTGAGATTTCAGGAAGTAGGAAAATATCTAAAAAACAACGTCCCAACTTATGTTGGAGTATACGCTCAAACCCTAAAGTGTAAACGTATATATGCCGTCCGTATATACGCAAAAACGCTATACGCTAGCAAATAGGCTACACGTAGTGAGAACGTGTAGCCTAGTAGTTTTTTTGTAAGGAATCATGCATAGTAGTTTTATTTGTAAGGGATCATGCATAGTAGTTTTTTCTGTTAAGTCTATGCAATCAAGAATGTGTGTGAGTCACATATTACACTGAGAGATGTGGTAATATTAGGTTGAAACTTCAAACAAGGATAGGATATTGTAAGGTGCATTGCCTCAAACGACCCATTGAGTTGACTTGGCTCTTACCTCTCAGCATTTGCTGCCAAGCAGCAACCACCAAGCTAACTTATGTGCAACCACCAAGCTAACTTATGTGCAACCACCAAGCTAACTTATGTGCAACCACCAAGCTAACTTATGTGCAACCTCCCATGTGTTTCCGCTATGCAACTTATGCAACCCACCACCCATGCATGCATTGCCTCGCAGGCGACTGCTGGGCGTATGCAGTGGTGGGCAGCATCGAGGCAGCATACAGCATTCTGGCCAACACCTCAGCCGTGCAGCCGCTGTCAGTGGAGCAGCTGAAGGCCGCCATGAAGGTCGGCTGCTCTGGCAGCACGCCCTCTCAGGCCTTCCAGCTGCTGCTCAAGCTGGCGCGCAAGGGAGGTGGGCTCGGGTTGGAGAGCCAGTGGCCGCCCAAGAAAGGCACGACCCCCACGAAGGCAGGCAGCAGCAGTCCTCTCTGCGCGCCGCTCGTGAAGTCACTGGCGAGGCTGCTTGGTGTGCCGTGTGGCAAGGGCAGCGACAACATACGTGTGAGTGGGTATCTGGGGGGTTGCGGATTTGTGAGTAACTCACACCACGGCAAGATTGACTCAATGTGTGCTGCTTTGTCGTTTAGAAAGTTGATTTCTCTGCTCCTTCCCAGAGTTTCCATTGATACAAACGATATAATATACTATTAATGAATCAGAGACATTCATAAGATTTAAGAGATGGATGGAAATGAAGGAGGTGGTTGGGGTCACAATGGTGGTAAAGAAAGGCCAACCATCACTAGTCCATGATTGTCGTTGGAAGGATCAACTTAGGGACTGTAGTGGTTATTGAGTTCTACGAAATCTAAAAAGCTCTATGTACGAATACGAATACGAATATTTTTTTTCTGAATATTCTCTGAATACTATGTGGTTTCTTATTCTACCGAATACCGACCCAGACCGAATACGAATACGTTTCGAGTACTGGTGAATTCGAATCGAGTACGATCAAGTGTCGAATAGTAAACTTTGTACAGGCAGTGTCGATCGGCTAATCCATGCTCGACACAGGGTGATAGAGTATACCTTATACTACCAACACCACGGTCCCGCACCACACACTGTCCCTAACCCCTCTACAGCTACTATCTTGCAAGGCTCTCAGGAGGCCTCTAATACACACAGTGCCAAAGATGATAGCCGCACGTAGGGAAAGTATAAGGGGGGGTTAATGATAGAATACCGAATAGTAACGAATACCCTGAATATTCGTTACCCGAATATTCTACATTCACGAATACTCGTGATGCGAATACTTTCGAATGCATGGTCGTTTCCTATTCTTTTGATTTCAGGTATTCGAATGAATATTGAATCATTCCCGAATACCGAATATTCCTTTACATGCTTAGCTCTATGCACAATGATAAATTCGCACAATGTAGTCTCTATGGGGTCACTTCCAAGAGTCTTCGGATGCATGGTATATCCAGCTCCTCACCAAGGGTCCGTGTTTGTAGAGAGAACTACCGAGTGTGCCTTCAATCGATTGCACTAGAGTAGTCTCACGCTCATTTGGGCAACGTTGACGACGGATTGGCTCGTGTGCGGAATTCTGTCTTTTTGTCAATGAAGAAGATTGACAGAGAAAAACTTTTCTCAAATAAGACTGGTGATACAATCCCAAAGTTTCCAGCAAGACTGACACACAAATCAAGCAAACACCAGACTTGTTTAACTGCATTTGGAAACTTTGCCGTACAACAATTCTCCAACTTTTGTATCTAACGGCGTGATTCGCTTTCTTGAAAATAACTGTCTTTGCCTTGTGCCTGTAAAGAAAACTCTTCCGCCAGGCGTGCTGCTTTTTTGGCAAAATATCCTTGTGGCACGTCATAAAAGACTGTTATTTGACAGAGCAGATCCCGAGCACCCGGGATCCCTCGAACCCACGAGCTCACGAGCACCCCCGAGTTGGCGCTGTCTTGACGTGGGCAGGGAAATCATTATCGCCCTGTTCTGTTCCGATCGTGCAAACTGTTCACGCTCGCAACAGTGCGAACCATACGCGCGTGCCCTGGGTGACTCATGTGAGATTAGGGCTTCGCGTGCGGGTCCTGATTTCCGCGCCCCTTTCGTGTGACGAGCGTGAGAAATTCTGAGGAGCCCCAAAAAAGGAAATGGCCCCTCATGGAACACCCATGACTGTTTATAAGAAGTCATGAGTTTTCATGAACATACAAACTTGGATGCTCTTGAATACATACGTAGTGTCCAATGCAATGTGGTGGAGGTTGGACAGCTTGGCAGTGAAGTAGGAGGCATATCAACAATTCACACTGCAAGTCTGAGTAAAACACTTGGTGCATCATCATGCTTTGTACACCGGATCTTTGCCCGAAATCTTGTTCACCACAAATACCACTTTCCTGACTGTAAGAGGAGCAGGAGAACTGGCTGTGGTGCCCCGACAGGAAGAGCAGCAGACGGGCTCTTGTCCTCTTCTCTATGGGAAGAAAGAGCGGTGCAAAGCGGTGACGGATGGATAATATGTGGAGCAGAAGCGCCTCCAGAGGTTGCATCGGCAGGGAGAAAGAAGATTCACATTTTGCAAAGGGCTGCAGAGAAGGCCAACAACCAGTCTTCTTAGATGTGGTTTGAAAGACCAAAATGGTTTTGTCCTCCAATCACCGTTGAGCCCGTAATTGGCGTCACCACCACAAGTGGGTGAAATGGCTTCTCAAATGCAAGTGTACACGCAAGGTGGACTACATGCCGGACTTGACTATACACCACAGCTGCTGTACAACATGCTTTCATATTCATACCCGACCTCACGCTGACTGCTCGAACGCCTGCATGCTGTTCGATTCTGGAGTTCTGTGTGCTTCAATCCCCATCCTCACTCTAACCTTCACATCCCAAGGCAGCTTCCGGGTGGCTTCCCCATCAAGGGCTTTGAGTCAACGTCTTTCTACGGCTGGTTTGGGCTGCTGCTGGCCGTGCAGCGGCAGCCAGTGGTGGTGCACATTGAGGCTTCCACTGCGTCGTTTAAGAACTACGATGGGGTGAGTCCCGGTGTGTGCTCTGTTGGGATAAGAAATAACGAAGGGATGTGGTGATTGAACAGTAGGGCGCGTGTGATTGAAGGTGTGTGTGTCCGTGACTGTACAAAGGAACATACAAGGCACATGGCAAATCAGTCATTTTCTTGCCTACCCTTACTGTTTCTTTCCTTCCCCCAGCTGTACAAGTACCAGGACCCCGATTGCTTCACGTTCAACCTGAACCACGTGGTGCTGCTGGTGGGGTACCGCCTGGTGGGCAAGGACTCGCGTTTCCCCAAAATGGCGCCGCCCTTCTGGATCATCCGCAACTCGTGGGGGCCTGACTGGGGCGATGGGGGCCACATGCGCATGGACATCCAGGGGGGGGATGGCGTGTGCGGCATCAACTCGCTGCCAGGCCTCTACCCCGTGGTCAAAGGTGAGTGAGTGCACGGTCAAGGGTGAGTGAGTACAGGGGATCTCATATGCACACCTGTTCAATTCAAGCCATGATGCCATTTCAGGTTTCAGAACCCACCTGCCTTGCTTCTCCACCCTCTCTTCGCGCCCTCGCCCTGCCTGCAGCTTCCGCTGACCCCTGCAGCATTGCCTCCCGCAATGATAGCACTGGTTCGTTTTTCAATCCCTGTGGCAAGTTCACCTGCATTGCGAAGGGCAAGACAAACGAGTGTGACTGCAACGACCCGCGCTTCATCCAAGCAACCAACGCCGATGGCTCTCGCACATGCGCCTACAGTAAGCTACCGCCGCCGCTGCTGTTGCTGCCTGTTGCTGTTTTATGAATCCAACTCAGCAGCACAACTGCTTGCCTCCTCCCACTGCTTTCAGAGCCACTTTTTTCCCCCATTTCATTTCCTCCAGCTCACTTCCTCCCCTCCCCTTCCCTCCCCTCCCCTCCCCTCCCCTCCCCTCCCCTCCCCTCCCCTCCCCTCCCCTCCCCCCCCCCCTCCCCTCCCCTCCCCTCCTCTCCCCTCCCTTCCCCCCTTTCCACCGTGCCCCTCATCAGAGGATGCATGCAAGGCAGCCCAGCGCAACCCGTGTGCGGTGGGCACGTGTGTGAATGACGGGGCGGGGTCGTACTCGTGTGTGTGTCCACCGGGCTTCAGGCAGGGCACCACCGTTGAGGGCACCTTCTCCTGTGCTCCAGGTACCTTCTCCTGTGCTCCAGGTACCTTCTCCTGTGCTCCAGGTACCTTCTCCTGTGCTCCGTGGTACTTTCCTTAGAAACAAGTATGAGCAGTTGTGACTAATTAACCAAGACAGGCAAACAACCTTGGCACAACACATGCTAGAGGGATGAGGGGCAAATTGGAAGATTCATCCCAAGGAGATTCATCCAAACTCTGGAGATCCATCCTGTGTTGCTACTGTGCTGTTCGCTTTGCCGCATGCACATGTGGCATGCATGTGTTGCGTGCTGGGCTGCATGCTGGGCTGCATGCTGTGTTACATGCTGGGTTGCATGCTGTGCTGCATGCAGGTGACACCAGCACCACCTACACCGTGCTCTCTCCCAACGTCCGCTGCTCCGACGTCTTCCCGGTCTACGGCCTCACGCTCGCCCAGTTCCAAGCCCAGAACGTGCGACTTTCACACCCTTGTGATTTCTCCATACTGATTCTAAACCCAGAACATGTGTTCCCTGCACCCTTGAGAGATTTCTATACTGGACCAAGCGAATGCATAGTAACAAAGCATGTGCCTCCTGTATGCACACCTCTGACCTAGCCTAGCCTCACTGCCCACTCTTCCTTCCCATCACTCAATTCCCTCACCAGCAGCTGCCTTACCTGTCGTTTGCCCCACAGCTCACACACAAGCTTCTTCATGCGTGCGTGTGCGTGTGCGTGTCTCTCATGCCTCTCCCTCGGTGTGTGCAGCCATCGGTGTCGTGTGCAGCACCCATCCCACCCTCCACCGTTCTCAATGTGGCCAGCCCAGCCTCTCTCACCCCCTGCTCCGTCTTCTACACCACTCAGCAGGTCCCCACCTCGCACCCTTCAAGCCAATACGCCATCTTCCTCAATCTCTTCCATCTACTTATCCTTATGTGCCCTTCTTTCCCCCTTAATCATTTCAACTGTCCTCTCTTAACCACAGATTGAACATTCTTTTCACCTCACTGTCTTTGCTGGGGAGCTTTCTCACATTCCCTCACTCTCTGCATCTCCTTGTGCATCTCTTTCTCAGGGCGACACCTGTGAGGCCACAGCAAGCTACTTTGGGGTAGACTTCCAGGCGCTCAACCCCAGCTTGGACTGCAGCGCCAACGGCGGGCTGCTGCAGCCGGAGCAGGCGGTGTGTGTGGAGCGTACGGTTGAGAAAGTGGGGCTCATCCCGGTGTGCTCGCAGTACTACCTGGTGCAGAGCGCAGAGACGTGCGAGTCCATCCGCAACGTGCCCTTCCCCGCTTTAAGTCCCATTGACTTCTTCCGTCTCAACCCCGGCATCAAGTGCAACCGCCTCATTCCAAACACCGATGTTGGCAGCTTCACTGGCTTTGAGGTGCGTGCGTGGCAGTGGCTCTGCTTGTGCATCTTTGCCCTTCCTTGTGGACCAAGCTTCCTCCCTCTCTTGCATTGACCGACTCATCATGTATCTTTGCCTTTCCTTGCTCTGCTTATGCCTCTCCGCCCGTCCTTGCAAAGCTGATGTGCCGTCTCCCTTGTTCTTCCTGCCTCAAATAGTCTAACTCACTGGTTCTCCTGTGTTTGCTGCCTCTTTTCCTTCTTCACTCCATCCTCCCACCCCACCTTACTCCTCCTCCGCCCCCCAGGCATGCATTGCGAGCTCCACGTCGTACACTCAGGGCACGTGCCCGCGTGCGAATGCATATGTCGTGGGGACAGGCGACAGGTGCACGGGCCTTCAGGTGAAGTACTTCCGGGGCATCAAGGGCTGCTACAGGAAAGTCAACGGATACGACTGCATCGACAAGCTCGTCAAATCAACCCGCGTGTGCCTGCCCAACAAAGTCAAGCTCCAGAAAGGAGTGTGCGACAACTGACCTCCTGCGACTCGCCTTTGCATCTCCGTTCTGAGAAGATCAACTTGGTTCCCTAACACCCTGAATGGGCGGATGTTTCCAGTCTGGTGTGTTTCTTCTCTGCCCAAGTTGCTTCGTTCTACTCTGAGTGACGAACAGGACACTCCTTGTTAATGACTAGATTGCTGAGGTAGTTAAACCAAGATTAACGAAAAAATCCACTCGATCTGTACCTTTTTTACAACGTAAATCCACTTTATACCTTGATAATCAGGGCGGTTCTGAGTTGAAGGTCACACCTTCGGCCTAGGTATTCTTCTTTTCTAGGGGGGGGGGGGGGGGGGGGGGTGGGGGGAAGGGGGGGGAGGGGGAAGAGGGGGGGGAGGGGGGGGGGGGGGTGGTCTTCTATCCGGGGGACTGCGCTGCGCTGCGGTGCATGCTGTTGGGCTGAGACGCCCTAGGATCTTTGTAGAGTCAAAGTCTGAGTAAAATGATGTAATAGCGGGAGCGTTTTAATTAAGTCCTTGAACCACTTGCGCTAGTATGTGAGGGCAAAGTAAGTTGATTAAAGCAAAGAGATACAGAAATATATACCGTAACGCCCCGGATATAGGCGCCGTCCGATTAAAGGCGCCGGCGCTTCTATCTGGAGCATGGCGCCTATGGCCGGAATTCCATTATAAGCGCCCCCCCCTAGAAAACCTTTACTTATTATAAGCGCATATGCGATTTGAATTTAAATTCTTGCCTAAAACAGTAACGAAATCCATTTTTGCAGCGAGTCAGATTTCAATTTCGCTTCGTTCGACTCGTGAAGACCTGACTGGCTGCGCGTCCAGTCAGGATGTGCTGGAATGACGTGGCTTTGCCTGTGTGTGAACCCAGAATATCGCTTGTGCGAGATTCTGCATTGTGACGCTAAAACATTTCGACTCGGTTAAAATGGCAAGAAGAAAATGAACAATTTGGTGCTCTAAAATTATAATTTCGTATTTGTCATTATATAAGCGCCGGCGCTTATGGCCGTTACTCAATTACAAGCGCCCCCCCTCAAAAAAATGATTTTATTATAAGCGCATATGCGCCTATATCCGGGGCCATACGGTATATGAGTACAGAGAATATGAAGAGACATAATTGTCGAAATATTTTGTCATGTTTTATAATTGCTTGTAGTTGTAGTTAGTGTAGTTATGTAAACTTTTGTTGGTGGTGCACCTTATTTTGTTTCTATGCTATATGTACCCCTGAACCTATAGTGAAACCACCTTTTCACCAATTTCCCTCTCAACTCACTCGACATTGCTCCTAGGGGAAAACCCGCTCGATACCTAAGTTAGGGCCTAGGCTACTAAGCCTAGGCCCCCGTTTCTACTCTTAATTTACTTAGACGTTCGACATGTTATCGGAGCCGAGTGTTCGTCCTGGCCTGTGGGCCCACTTTACTTCCGCTGCTAAGATTTTACGGTCGCGCGCCTAGGGCGCGTGACGGTTTTATTTTTACCTTGTCCCGCCCACGGGCGTGTGACTCCTTCCCTGCCCGTCGCGCGCCCCGTGGCACGCGACGGTGCCCTTCTACTGCCCATCGTGCGCCCCGTGGCACACGATGGTGCCCTGCTCGTCGTATGCCCCGAGGCACACGATCGGGCCCTTTTATGCTACCCGTCGTGCGCCCCGTGGCACTGGCCCGCGACGGGCCTTTCCGCCCCTGCACTCCCTGCTGCCGCCCCTGACCCATCTGCACCGACGCCTCTTCGCCGCTCTGCGGCTTTCTTCCTTCCCACCCCCCCCTTTCTCTTGTCTCCCTGCAGCCGTGGGGAGGAGGGTATGGGGGTGGAGGGTGTTGGAGCGTGGGGTCAACTCTCTCCCTTTCCCTCCTCCTTCTTTCAGTCCCACCGCTGCAGCTGCCGCTGGGGGAGGAGGGTGTGAGGATGTGGGTGAGGAGGGGGAGTGGTACCGGGGTGGCGGGTGTGAGGCAACAAGCAGCCGTCCCTCCACCTCTCCTCTCTTCCCCCTTTCTCTGCTGCTTCTGCAGCAGTGTGGGGGAGGGGAAGGAGGAGGGTGAGGAGATGGTAGGGGTACCTGCTGTTGCTGTAACTACATACCTACCTACAAGCATTATGGGGGCGTGTCGAAATATTTTGTCATGTTTTATAATTGCTTGTAGTTGTAGTTAGTGTAGTTATGTAAACTTTTGTTGGTGGTGCACCTTATTTTGTTTCTATGCTATATGTACCCCTGAACCTATAGTGAAACCACCTTTTCACCAATTTCCCTCTCAACTCACTCGACATTGCTCCTAGGGGAAAACCCGCTCGATACCTAAGTTAGGGCCTAGGCTACTAAGCCTAGGCCCCCGTTTCTACTCTTAATTTACTTAGACGTTCGACAATAATTGTAACTGTTTTACTGTTGCGGGTCGATACAGTGCGACTCGGGCAACTGCTCAAATTCGAGTCAGTTGTGTGTCCTTGCTGTCGCGCTGCGTCAGGTCAAAGGTCGCTGACCTTTGACTTTCTCGTAACCTCCAGCGGTTACGTTAACCTCCAAGGGTTGACTCGCGGTGCTTCGATTTGAGCTGCTTCGCTTGTGTCTTGAGTTTCGACACGACAGAGGCGCTTAAGACTATTTGTTCCCAACACTCCCCTTCGCTCCTGGAGTGTCGCTGATGGTGACGTGGCTTTGTCCAGTCAGCAGCATGCAGTACTCGAACTTCTGTTTTCCGAGTTTCTTGGTCAAGTAGTCGGCTGCCATCTCGGACGTGGGACAGTAGGATAGTTCGAGTTTCCCTTTCTCGATCTCGTCTTTCACGAAGAAATATCGCAGAGCGATATGCTTCGTTCAGTTCGCAAATCCGCTCTTGTTGGCAATGCGAATCGCAGATTGGTTGTGGCAGAACAAAGTGAAGTTGGGTAACTCGGCTAACTTCACTTCTTCTAGCAGCTCGCGAAGATAGAGTCCTTCCTTGGTGGCTGAGCAGAGGGCGATATATTCTGCTTCAGCTGAAGAGAGAGCGATTAGTTCCTGCTTGCTCGATTGCCAGGAGATAGGTCCGATAGGTTCGAGGCGGTAGATGTAGCCAGTGCGTGAGCGCCTGTTGTCTGAATCGCCGGCGTGATCGGCATCGACGTAGCCGGTTAGTTTCGTCGGTGTAGTTTTACTCTTGTAGTATGTCAGGCCGATCGTCGAGGTGCTCACGAAGTAGTGTAGTGCACCGTCGAGCTCCGCCTGGTGTTCTGTTTCGGGTCTCTTGAGGTAGGTGGCGAGTTGACTTGCGTGTGAGAATGAGAACGAGAATGGATCAACTATGAATGAAGTGAGTACATATAGGAAACCCTAATTGGGTTGTACCCCCTATGGGATACCCCACTATAGCCAACACAAATGTATAAGCTATATATGCATTCTGACACACCCCCATAGGCAAAGTGGGGAAGAACAAGGGGTCACAAGACAAGTCAAGCAAAGCAAAGCAAAGCAAGCTCAGGGTGGATCACAAAGTCACCACACAGTCCGAGCACAAGGTCAAGGCCACAAGGCCAGTTCACAAGCAAGAGTACACATATATAAAAAGCTAGACAAGCAAGAGCAGGTATATATATATGTGACAGTACAAGCAAGATCAAGAGGTGAGCAAGTGAGGCAAGACAGGCACAAGTCCCAGCTGAGTGCAGAAACGCTGATGATCACAAGGCGCAAGTGCCTTGGTGAAGACATCAGCAGTGTTGGCCTTAGAGGCCACGTACGCAAGTCGCAGCTGTCCACGCTACTGAAGCTCACGAGCAAGGAAGTAGCGAAGAGCAATGTGCTTTGTTCTGTGCTCCAGTCTCTGCTCTCGACACAAGGCCAGCATGGCCTTGTTGTCTACCTACAGGACTGGAGGAGAACGAGGCGGCTCTCCAAGGTCAGTCAGCAGGTAGGTGAGCCAGCGAAGCTCCTGTGCAGCCATGGCCCCGGCGTAGATCTCAGCCTCACAACTGGAGCCGAGAACAGAAGACGAGCGAGTAGCCCGCCACGAAACAGAGCCGGAACCAAGGCTGAAGGTGTAACCCTGTGACGACCGCTGCGAAGCCTGGTCGTCAGCCCAAGAAGCGTCCGCGTGCCCCGTGAGGACCACTGGACTCCGCCCTCCAAGCACTAGCCCCATGCCCGACGTACTGCACAAGTAGCGCAACACCCTCTTCGCTGCAGCCATGTGCTCTGGTCGGTGTCTACCAGGAGCAACATAGCGTGCAAGAATGCTAAGAGGGTATGCAAGGTCAGGTCGTGTGCAGGTCATCAGGTACATGAGGCAGCCAACAAGCTCTGGATACGGGCCACTCGACTCTACGGACTCATCCGAAGGCAGAGCTGAGAGTGAGTGGCGAGTAGGCAGAGGAGTGGCCTGAGGCGAGGAGTACGTGAAGCCGAAGCGCTGAAGGACCTGCTGCACCATGTGTGACTGAGTCAGGGTAATGGTGCGGCGTGCTCTATCCCGGGTGATCTGCAAGCCAAGGTAGCTGCGCAGTTCACCCAGGTCAATGCACGTGTGTCTCTTCTGCAGCTCGGACTTCACGTAGGCGAGTCCAGTAGTGTCAGCAGTGGCAAAGACCAAGTCGTCGACGTACACGAGGATGTAGAACCGCGGCAGAGAGGTGTCGGTGCGCAGAAACAGCGACGGGTCGGCTGTAGAAGGAGCAAACCCAAGAGCCGCAAGCGTAGTCCTCAGTGTGTCGTGCCACTCACGTGGCGCCTGGCGGAAACCGTAGACTGGACGCCGGAGACTCCACTGGGTACCAGGAGGGAAAGACCCAGTGAAGCCAGGTGGGCGGCGCAGCCAGATCTCCTCGTGCAGGCTGCCCTACAAGAAAGCTGTGCTGAAGTCGAGAGAGTGAAGCTCGTAGTCACGGTGAGCAGCAACGTGCAGCAGTACCTGAAGAGTGGTCATCTTCGGGGTGGGGGAGAAGGTCTGAAAGTAGTCAACTCCCTGCCGCTGACTGAAGCCACGAGCCACGAAACGCGCCTTGAAGACAGGCGGAGAA